CAGATCAGGCACAAAACAGGGAGATGTATGCATACCAAAGATGTTTGCCATTTTGGTGGAGGATATCCAATTCTGAATCTGAGAGGAAGAGGGATTCCTTATGGAAAAATGAAGTCCTCCAAATGCTCCTGTTTATTGGAAGATGATAGTGTTGGCTGCTTCAAGCCCTAGAGTACTGCAGGGCTTCTAGGAAGAGAGTAATAAATACTCAGTCTGACCATCCACATAGGAAAGATCATGCAGATGAAGAATACCTATTGACTGGAATATGGCATTCACAGTGAAAGTGATTAGCAAATTGAGCCCAGAATTAAATAGAAGAGAGGGTTGGACTGTCTGCAGTAAATTGCAAGGCTCCTTTAATGAACCAAAGCTTCTCTTGGGAACAAAGATTCACATTTTTAGTACCAATATTCTACTGGTGGTGGTGTTTGACTGTGAGACATAGGGTACAACAATCTCCAAAGAATTGAAAATAATTATTAGACAGAGGGCAATGGAAAGAGGCATGGTGGATGTGAACAGGAGACAACTTCAAAGAAGAACAAGAGTAAAGGGCATAATCGGAGTAATGTATGATAGAGAGAAAGATGATGTGTTCACATGGTAAGGGTGGGGGAATGACAGGTTGACAGCCTGATTATTCCACTGGTGCCCTTGTAATGCCAGGGAATAACAAGGAAGGCTTCCAGAACATTGGGTAGGGCCTTTGTGTGGAACTTCAGGGAGTCTCACAGGTCAGGTAGGCAAGGTTGTATCTCAATCTGCTTCATCGGAGGGAACATCTAGTTGGATGAAATCACATATCCACTTGAGTAAGTCTAAAGATGTCTTATTTTTTATTGGTATCTTTCTTCCTTTATCTCCAAATTATCACAAGCCTTGCCAGAGAATGAATGTGTTGAGTATAAAAATAAACAAACCAAATAAAAACCATGCAGGTACATCCTGCCTGTTTCCTTGTGCAGACATAATTTTAAAGTGATATTGTTAATACATTATAACCACATCTTACTCCCCCCCCCATTTCCCATATGGTAAATGAGGGACTTAGATGCTCTTCTTGCTTTCTTCTCATCAGGTGGCATGAATCAACAGGTTATTCCCTTTAAAGCCAGGCCACTTAAGACATCTGAAAAATTAATGGAATTCTAAGGCATAAAAGGCACCCTAGAGCCAGAGGTATCAAACTTAACTCACAAAACTCAACTGGGACAGAACCAGATTAAAATGTGATTAGGAAATATTTAACAAAATAAATTAAGATATAATAAAACATAGATAACGTTAATTTGTGGTTTTCTAAGTCAATATACAACCAACAGGGTTATTTGAGTTTGACACTATTGCTTTAGACAAGGGCAGGTATTGTTATTAATCAATGGTAGTTTTAGATATTATGCTGTACTGAGAGTGGAGACAGTGCCCCCAAATGGTAGATCAATCCCAGTAGGTATTAAAATATGCAACAAGTGAAGAAAAAGGCTCAGAAGTGGACTTTGGAATTCTATGGCTAACAGGTTGCTTGATTAAGCTGACCTCATTCATTCAAGAGAACTCTCCTTTTGTTTGGGGCTAATTTCTGAAGGAGTCCTTCCCAGACAGCTCATTTCCTCAGGCTGTAACCAGGAAGAAAAGGGGGGGGCCCTGTGGTCAGGAGTTATTACAGCAAGCAGGAAGTGTTTAATGGGGTTCATTTACTTTTAGTTAGAAGAGGAAAGGGCAAAACCTTCTTTATGAGGCAGGGAGAAAGTTAATGTGATTTTACACCAGTTCATTTTACTACTTAAGAGAAGCCAGATCTAAATGGGGCATGACAATGATTGTCTTCTTTAAGGGTTCAGTTGGGCAAAAAATTCCTTAAGGAAAAATATTTTTTATAAATGATGCTACAGAGAACTGAAAGATATTTTTTCACTTGTAGAATCAGTTTAATAACCATATAGTCTATGTCATAAGGCTTTTGATTCCAGGTTAGGAGATTGAATATTTCCATCCCTCCATGGTGGTTTTGATGCATGACTGAAAAACATCCTGATATAGTAGTTAGAGTGTGGGATTTGGAGTGACAAGGCCTCAGTTAGAATCCTGCCTTTGCTACTTATAACATGCATCTTGTGGGCACATTACTTAATGAACAAGTCACTTAACTTCAGTTGTTCTCATCTATAAAATAAGGTGGTTAAACTAGATCACCACTATGATACTGTACTCCTCTTAAATCTGCAATTCATTCTGATTCATTCAGAGTATTCTGGGCCTCAGTTTCCTTATCTGTAAAAATGAAGATGTTAGCAGAGATGATCTGTAAGATTCTTTAGAATGTCAGATCCTATGATCTTCTATAGAGTGTTAAAGCTCTACAAAGCACTTTGCTTGCAACAACCCAAGAGACAGGTATTGGGTAGTACTAGTATTCCCATTTTACAGATGAGGAATACAAAGCTTGATGGGATTAAATGACCTGCCCAGGTCACACAGGGGAAGAGAAGGAAATAAGCAATTATTAAGCACCTACAGTGTGTCAGGCACTGTGCTAAATAAGAGCTTTACAAATATTATCTAATTTGATCCTTACAACAATCCTGAAAGGTGCTATTATTACCCTCATTTTATAGTTGAGAAAATGAAGGCAATCAAAAGTTAAGTGATTTCTTCAGGGTCACAGTAAGTATCTGAGACTGAATTGGAACTTGGGTGTTTCTGATTCCAGGCCAAGCATTTTATCCTCTGCACTCACAGCTGGCTCAAAGCCAGGAGAAGTTGGAGGTAGGACATGAATCCAGAGCTTTAGAGTATAGATCCTATACTCTTCCCATCATAAAACACTGCCTTTGTACATCAGACACGCCATGAGTATGCAAATTGTAATTTCTTTTTAATTTAATTTCAAAATTCTGAACTTAAACACTAAAAAAAGCATTTAGGATTGTCAATCTCCATTTCATACTGTTTGTTTTTTTAAAAAGCATGTAATAAATTCTGCTTGTCTGCATTTTCTTCTGAACTTCATGTTCTCTTTTGTGAATTAAAAAAATGTTTCTATGACTTTCTTTTTTTTGGGCAACATAATTGTCTCCTCCATGCTCCCCCTCCCCTCAACCAAATCTTGTAACAAATAAGACTAGTTATGCAAAAGGATCTATGTAGTGGACTTGATGAAAATGTACATCTCTGAGCAATTTGGAACTATGGCCAAAGGGCTATAAAACCACGAATTCCTTTTGACCTTGCAACCACTACTAGGTCTGTATCCCAAAAGAGATAAAAAAAAACAAAAAGGAAAAGGACCTATATGTACAAAAATATTTATAGCAGCTCTTTTCTGGGGGTAAAGAATTGGAAATTGAGGAGATGCTCATCAATTGGGGAATGACTGAACAAGTTGTAGTATACATTGTACTATAAGAAATGATGAGCAGGATGCTCTCAGAAAAACCTGGAAAGACTTTCATGAGCTGATGCAAAGGGAAATGTACTGTGTACAAAGTAACAGCAATATTGTAAGATGATCATCTGTGAATGACTTGGCTATTCTGAGCAATATAATGATCCAAGACAACTCTTGAGGGACTACAACGAAAAATGCTGTCTGTCCTCAGAGAAAGAATCATTGGTGTCTGAATACAGATTGAAACATACATTTTGAACTTTATTTTCCTTCAGTTTTTTTCTTGTCTATGTTTTCTTTCACAACATGACTAATATGAATGTGTTTTGCATGACTACACATGTATAACCTATACGAAATTGCTTGACTTCTCAATGGAGGAAGGGAAAGAATTTGGAACCCAAAGTCTTAAAAAAAATGTTAAAAATTGTTTTTACATATAACTGGGGAAAATAAAATAATAAAAGCTTAGAAAATGTACCTCTCTGCATCTTGTGTTCATCATAGTTGTCTGGAAATGTTTGGACATTTCATTGATCAGACTTGTTAAGTCTTTCAAAGTTGTTTTTCTTTACAAAGTCATTCTCCTGGTTCTGCTCACTTCACTGTGCAGCAGTTCACATCTATCAGGATTCCCTGAAATATCTCATTTTTTTTATGGTACAATAATATCCCATCACATTCACACACCACAATTAAAGACAGACATTTCTACATTTATTTCTTCACATGAGAGGCAAAGAAGAGGTAGTGTGGCCTTATTAATAGAAAGACAGCTGGCCTTAGAGATAGGAAGACCTGGGTTCAGATTCCACCTCCCACACATACTGTGAGATCTGGGCAAATGGCTTACCCCTTCTCAGTGCTCTAGGTAATTCTTGGAAGGTAGTAACTGTCTTGGCAGAACTCGATATCCAAGAGGTCCCTGTAGCAATGAAATCACAGGCTCAGTGCCTATCCCTACATATTCAACATCTTGTTCTTCCCATATGATATTAGAAGTTAACAGTCTGTTTTATTTTATTTCATTTTTTTGGCAGAAGATGTGTTCATAGATTATCTGTTCCCTAGCCTTTTGAGTTGGAGACTCCTTTTAAAACAGTATGGGAGAGCAGATGGTTCTCTGAATTGCTAATTGCCTGCTACTCTCATACAAAAAGTATCTTTCCTTCTGAATGCTTAAAGAGTGTCTGTTTTGGGTTATGGAAATTTAAAAAAAAAAGGTTATTGGGTAGTAATGTTCTTTCTTCTATACAGGAATGCATCTTTGGGAAATGTCATGAAGCATGTTAAACTCAGAAATTACAAGAACCCAGTTTCTAGTAAAATATTTTTAAAAGTGTCAGACTCCTCCTTGCCTCCATTGAATAGTGGAAAGCTGTTACTTATATAACTTCCTGTAATTTACCAGGCTGAGGGTTTAGGGGTGGAGGGGAGTCTGCTGGGTGAAGACTGTCAGTTTTCCTTTTCTTACCATTAGAGACAATGTAGCTCTGCCTCTTCTCTAGGAGCAGGATTGCCTTGTATATTTTTACCTTTATAGGCATTATCCCTTCTGGAAACTGAAATTGAATATAAATTTTCTTTAATTCATCCTTTTTTTCAGAAGATGGGAAATTCTTATGCTGGCCAGCTGAAGACCACCCGTTTTGAAGAAGTCTTACATAATTCCATTGAGGCCTCACTGCGGTCCAACAACTTGGTTCCCAGGCCAATTTTTTCTCAGTTATACTTGGAAGCTGAGCAACAGCTTTCATCCCTAGAAGGTAGGAGAATATGATATATATCCTATGTGCACATGCATGTATTTTAAATTGAATAATTAGTAAAAAAAAAAAATGGAAAGGCACTGGTGATAAATTCTCAAAACTTTTCCTTTTCTTCTTTGCATAGAACATGTCCAAAAATGGGTAAAAACAAAACAAAACCAAACCAATTGAAATGTTAGAAAGAAAAGTGATATAAGCATTATCAGACCATTTTTCCTGGATCAGCAAAATTAGAAGGCCAGAAGAATACTATTAAGTTAAAAGAGGAAATATACACCTTTTTGACCAGTATCAGTATAGTTTATTCAGGCAGGATGCGTTAGTTATACTGTTGTTAAGCTATATTTTAGATCTCTCTTTTTGGGGGTTTTGAATATTTTCATCTGGACGTGTCAGAAATGTTAATGCTTCTTCTATCTCAAAGTGACTTTTGTTTATTTTTTCTCAGTGATTGACAGCAAAACTTGGTCAAATACCCGAGGTGATTTCTGTTTGTGAGAAGTAGTGCTGAGGTCATCTAGAAATTACCTAGAAAAAAACAAGAAGCCCTTAGCTACTGAAAAACTATCTGAAATGAAATTAAATTGCTCTTAATGCCTGTGAAAAGCCTCAAGATTTACTTAATCACTGAAGGAATTAAGCTTAATTCCTTGAAAAAATAATGTTTTTATTATTCTTGTCTTTTAGCTGTGCCTAGAATTTATGATGTTGGATTTTTATGTCAAACGTAATTCCTTAGACTGCCATTAGAAGAGACAGTTAATGTTTAATCAAGGCTTTCCTTTTGACTTGTTTTTGATTGATGTGGCCTAAGAATGTTCTTGGATGTGCAGATTATAGAGAGAGATTTGTTGCTACTAAAATATGTGAGTCCAATGAGTAGAACCTCAAATTAATTTTTTAAAAGTGTAGTTTGTTAAAATGCTATTTGTTAAATATGCTGTTTGTCAAAATGTTATTTGACAATTTTTTATTTTAGACAATATTGTTATGATAATAAATGAAAGGCTGATGTCCATTAATTTGTGGAGTTTAGTGGGTACCTTGCAGTTGGGGTTGAGCAGTGTAGCAGTGAGCACTCCTCCCCTCCACAAAACATAGATTCGGATTTACATCAACATTGAACCTTTTGGGACCTTGGATTTCACCTATCAGCTTTTTCTTTTACCAACAAAAGAGCTTTTGTTGTATAATAACTGAGAATATTCATAATTAAATTACTCATGCAAATTAGTGAAAGCTCAATCCTTGAAAGGAAACTGGACTTAGAAATATTGATTTTATGCTTATGTGAATAAATAATATTATTAATATTTACTATTGTCCTAAGAATCAGAAGACCTGTATTTAAGTCCTGGCTTGTCTACATGGTAGCTAAATGACCTTGGGCATACCTCTTTGGGCTTCTTTATCTGCAGGGACCTCCTGTGGTTATATAACCTCTCTGGGTCTTAGTAGCTCTTCACCTGTAAAATGAGGAGGTTGGCCTTTGAGGTCTCTAAGATCCTATGATTCCCTGATGTCCATTCCTAAATTTTTTTCCTAAAGTAACTTCCTGCTTTTGCATTTTATGATTTTGTTTTGCCTGGCCTTGACAGGATCTGGATGCAATTGGTGGATCTCTCTACAATGCATAAGACTTGGCTACAAATTTGTGAGATACAATACTGGTTAGTGTTGGCAACTAAACATCGAGACCATTTTCAGCTAGCCAAAAATCTTTCTGAAATCATTTGACAAGACTTCAATGAAGGTGCATGACCACTATTTCTTCTCGTAGTGGGAATACATTCCCAATACTAGCCAGCTTTTGTTGGATAGACTATATCAGAAACTTAGACGAATTCCTTGCTTGGTAAGAGACTATTACTATTGGTGCTTCAGCACTCCGATGATCTGTGATTTTTGTTAGTGTGGGTATTCCCTCTCCTGATGCTATTAGAACTTGTCTATAAATTGGTAGGGAGTCTTTAGAAGTTGCCATGACTAGAAAATTTGTCAACCTGGGGCCAAGCTGTTGATTAATCTCTTTGAACTTGGCAAAGTGGTTGTCATATAACAACCATGCTATCATTAAGACCAGGCTTGCAATTTTTTCATTTTGGTAAGACCTTCTTTGTTGGTAGAACCTTTAGGAACCTAGAGCCCCTTTCACACCATAATGAGGCATTAAAGAAGGATTTTATTTTTTAATTTTTTTCTGTTTAAAAGTTTTAGTCATCCTGCACCCTCATTGCTGCCATTCCCAGTGATTCTCCCCTTCCCTCCCTCCCCTCCCTTTTAATAAAGAAATGCAGGTAAACATGTTGTATCTGACAATATGTCTTCTTTTATACCTATAGTCTACCACTTGTCTATTGAGAGGCAAGAGCTATACTCATTATTAGTCCACTGAAGACTTAGTTGACTCTGCATTGATCAGAGTTCTCAAGTCTTTCAGTATTTTTTTTCCCCTTCCATTACTTTGGTCCTTCTGTAAGTTCTCCAGGTTCTGCTTACTTTGTTCTGTATCAATGTGTAAGAGTCTTCCTAAGTTTCTCTGAATTATTTTTTTCCTTTTTGGCTTTATAATATTTCATTAATTTACACACCACAATTTATTTGGCCATTCCCCAATCGTAGGCACACACTTTTTAATTCTAATTCTTTGTCACTACAAAAATATCTCTATAATTTTTTTTGGTCTACATTAGATATTTGCATCTGTCTTTGACCTCCTCAAAGTATATGTAAAGGAGGACTTAAGTGAAAAAGAAAACTATTATTGTTTTTATTTATATATTTATAGCATTAGTATGGTATTTTGTAGTATTTTAATTATAATAACACATTTATATGGCATTTTCTAGTTTAAAAAATGACAACTCTGTGATGTAGGCCATGCAAGTAATAATAATTACTATTTACAGGTGACAAAATGGAGAATCTGAGAACATAAAGCAAATTAGCTGTGGTTACATGACCAGTGAGTGGGAGAGCTCAGACTCAAACCTAAACTTCTGAATCCAAGCCCAGTTCTCTTTCTATCATGCCACATTGCATAATTATTTTCTTAGCTTTGAGAAGTAGTGAGAACAGGTTGGTATCTGAGAAGCAGATTATATTATAATCACAACTCACAGTGGGTAGGGGAAGAGTAGGAAGGAGAGCTTTTTAGGATCCCTGATCTGTATGTTATTTTTTCAATGTAGGAGTAGACTAACTTTCCCCCATCACTAGGAGGGTGTCTGCATTCTTGACAATTCTAACCCCACAGGATGCCCATATCTGGTTAGAGTACTTTGGGAGTGAGTGGCTTTTCAAGGTCAGCTTTTGGGGCTTACAATTTACATTCCTCTGGGCTGAATGTCAACAGTTTGTTTCCAGATGTCAGAAGATTGTTCAGTGGTTCACTTTGGTATTAAAACCAGAGGCAGGCTCTCTCTTATTTCTCATCTTCCCATTTGTTCATGGCACCGAAACTGGCTCCTTTGTTTTCTCAATGTCTTCAAGGGGTGGAGAAAAAGAAACAAAAAAGAATTAGAAGAGGCAATCCTTATGTTTTGTTAAATGTCACAGTAAGCCAAAGCACTCAACTCCAAGCCGCTGTTTGCCACATCATAAAACCTTGTGGAGACTGGTTTGTTTAAGCTACATCTTGTTTTGTCTGTCTCTGACAGTGCCTCTTATCTCCCTACTCTCTCTCCTTAAAGATTATTTTTATTGCTGGGGATACTTGTATTCTAAATGCCCCTTTGCCCCATTAACACTGTCTTTATTTTTTAGGATCATTTCAGTCTGGTCCTGTTACCTAGTTGAAAAAAAAAACATTTTCTCCTTTTTTGTCCCAGGCTCTTCAATTCACCTTCCAGTTCCCATTCCTTTTTTTCTTCTCAGGGAAAAAAAAAAAAACCAAAACAAACCTAAACTGTGCACATTTTATTTGTTTCTAAAATGCTCCCTCAAACTCACAAAATCACTCTCACAATTTTGAAGTATGTATTTTGTAGGCAAAGATGAGGAAAAGTGTCATTTGGTAATGGAAATGGGTTCACTATGACATGAATTGGTTCAATTTGTGTCTCAGCACTGTATACAGCAAGTGATTAATCAGTGTTTGCCAAATTGAATTTGAATGATGGGATCAAAACAAAATGTAAGGGGAAGGACAGTGTGATATATATAGTTAATCAGAAGGATGCTAGATTTGCTAATAAGAGATCTGGGTTTGAATTCTGCTTCTGACACACTTAAGTGAATATCAGCTAATCATTTTGCTTCTGAGGCTCAGTTTCCTCATCTATAAAGTGGGAATGAGGTCCTTGCACTACCTTTTTGAAATGTGTACCCTTTTCATCTACAGAATAGAATCCTGAGGCTCAGGAAAGGGAAGTGATTTTGCTCAAGTTCACATAGTTAATGAGTGGAATAGGATTGTTGCAAGCAAGTGTTTTATACAGCTCAAGACACTATTATATATGTAGGTAAGAGATAGGGACTGGACTAGGAATTATATATCTATAGGGAGCTCCTGGATGAAGGATCCCTTTCTACCAGTGAGCACAGGGAAATCCTTTCTGGGCAATTTATAGTCTCAGAGAGCTACCTAGAACTTTGTTAGGTTAAACGTCTTGTTGCTCGGGGTCCTACAGTCAGTACATCAGAGACTGGACTTATGCCAGCCTTTGTAGCTCTAAGGTAGGCTCTCTATCTGCCTCACCAGACTGCTTCACATAGAAATGTTATTGTTATCATTTACACAGAAAACAAAATTGTCCTTTCACAGTTAGCAGCAATATGCAGCTGCTAATCTCTTGGAATCCTGGGTTTGTGAGTTGAGGGGAAAAGATAAAGATAATCTGGTTTATAACATCAGTGTTTTAAAGCTCAATCCTTGCCACTGGAACTTCAGGAAGTAATTCTGCTCTTAGTCGGCTCCTGGTTTTTGAAAAAAAAAGAAGGGAAAAAAAAAGCTGAGCCACTTACTACTCTCTTAACTGATCCAACTAAAGGTCCTG